CGTCTCTGGGCTGGTCTGACAGGCAGCTTCCCTCCCCGGCGCTGGATGAGCCATTAGGTTCATCTACCTGCATATTCTCTGATTTTATGATTCTGCCAGGATCCAGGGACGAGGCTTCTCCGCGGCGCTCGGGCTGCTGGGAACTCTCCATGTTGTCCTCCGTGTCCATCTTGGGGCTCAGATCATGAGCAGCCTCGTTCTCTGAGTTCCCCTCCGCCATGTGGTACAGCGCCAGGTGGTGCAGGGCGGTGGGACTGAGGCGGTTAGGCCCGTCCTGTATGGAATGCTTCTTGGACATCAACATGTGCCTCCAGTGCCGGGCTCGGCCGTGGTCACTGGCGTCCCCGGAGCTTTGAGTCTTCACCGCCACCTCCTCCGTCTCCTCCGCCTGGATTGTCTCCAGCACTTTCAGGCACTGCTCCTCCAGGTACTCTATCTCCAGGATCTCAGCGGCGTACAGCAGGTCGTCCAGGTCCTCGGCCGTGGCCTGGAGCGAGGCGGTGTAGGCGTACTCCAGGATCTGCTGGAAGGTCTTGGGGGACAGGAAGTCCAGGGCGTAGCGTAAGCTGCTGCGGTGGAACAAGATCTCGAACATTTTGCTGGTGCAGGCCAGGACCGTGCGGTGCGCAGGGAACTCCTGGCCGTCCACCGTGATGATGACATCACACAGGGTGCCGGACAGACGCAACTGATTGGCCCGCTGCAGAAGCGTGCTGGGGTGAGTCGGATTGTGGAGCTGGAGCACACCCATGTTTGTCAGACCCGTATCCACTCGGACCTTTGCCGAGCCCACGCATGAGGTGTTGCTGTCCTGCCTGCTTCACTTGCCTTCAGCTGGTTGTAGGTCTGTGGTTAGGGTGGAGGGGGAGGGGAGACGATCATTAGTGCCTGTCTCAATTACAATGTGATGCAAAAACCTTGTTAATTACATTCCAGTGTACACTTTCATCCCTGATCAACCAATAGAAATACTTGACTATATATATATAATTGTACAAATACAATTATATATATATTCTGTAAAATTCAAACCCCACCTTTAGGGTTCTTAATCCATGCACCCTACATGATTATTTATTTTAATTAAGAACCAGATGCAGACAACAGGTCGATAGGCACAAAGCAACAGTTTCCATTGCAGGTGATTAGTCTGAGGTCTCGTAGAGCGGTAACGTCGCTGTAATAACGTCTGCATACTGAGAGGTGACGGTCCAATTTATCAAGCAGCTCACACACACACTCACACATCTGTGCCCTCAACAGGTAGGCCCGCTATTAACAAACGCCTTGCAGGGCTGATTAGTTCATTTAGGCTGCGCACGTTCCTGATTAGACGTGTGCGAGACAATTAAGCCGCTCTGTTAAAAAAAAAATCCTTAAATAAGTTATAAAACTATTAAATGGAGCAAACCGTGGAAATAATGCGGAATCCTGCGACAGGCACTTGTATTTTGACCACATTTAAATCCCTAAATGACATTGTGAGTAAACATTGGACTGTGTATGATGATGTTTGTCGGACCTCTCAGCAGCACCTCGAGCGATGCTGACAGGCTGCATCCTCAACTAACCGCAACATCGGAGCGCATCAGGTGCACACGCACAAATCCACATTTATTATACAAACACATTGCGACAAATTAACCCTGTCCAAGCGCGTATTTACTGACTGCACGGTGTTTGAGGGAGCGCGAGCTGGGCGAACATTTAAACACACCAATTTATCCCAAAAACTGTCCAATTTGTATATGTCCGCGCGATACAGACTGAGCTGAATCAAGTTTGTAAAATCCTAAATCAGGCTGCAGCCAAACTTAAGGTAGATTTACACACGTGTGTTGTTAAACGATATAATTTCACACGCTATAAAACGGACATTAATTCAAATATTAATTGTTGGAATTAGTCTGAGACTGGAAAGTAGTTGATAGTAGAAGAATGAGCTGAAATGAGCAGCAGAAATGTTAAAAGTGTCGGCTGTCACAGTTGTTCTTACCTCTGTCTCCTAACGTCCTCCGCTGATTACCCAGGCAGCATCATGGTTACACATTTCACAGTACCCGCTCCAAACTCAGTCTGCTCCAAGTAAGCAAATCATCACCCAGCCACCACAGTCAAACCCACGGGGGGACAACCACACTTCCGGTACGAACTTTCAAAGTAAAACCCTGTCTTTAGAACCACGTGTTGAAATATGTGATAGTGTTATTTGTAAGAAAAGCATATCAAGTCACTGATTGATAACCGATTTTTCTATGGTTTGACTTTTGGTGTTGTATGTAATGCACTTTAGATTGGCTTGTTGCTTCAATGTGCCCATTTAATAAATATTCATGTTTCAACCAGTTTTTCATCTGTGAGAACTTTTACAGAGAGACTCCAATTAAAAAAATTAGATATAGCCTACTTTGAAATCTAAATGTTGGTAATGGATAATATTATGTGTCAATATGATGTGGCTCTTATTGCTTCTGGTGTTGGAACAAAATAAGACAATAAGCTAAGGATTTGGCGTCTAATTTGGTAGTGATGTCCTTTTTTTGGTATAAAATCACTGAAGGTATCAGAAAATAGCGACACTCATAAATTGTACCATTATTTACCATTTCCAAAAAAAGAATCAGGTATTTATGTATAAATGTATGCATTTATGCAATTTCCCCTCCTTTTATGAAGCAATCGCAGCAACCTTCTGCAATTACTGATTTTAAAAGTTGCATTATTTCATCGTGAAGAAAATAAGGAGCTTTTTAGCGGAAGATATCTGTCTCAGCATAAATGTTTCCTAACATGTAATTAACTCATACCTTATCCAAAATGTGGGAATATTTGTTGCATATATTCTTTTTGATGTAAACGTATACTTAGTGTAAGAAAGAAAATCCAGTTTGACTAATGTGCATGTCTCATATTAGTACTGCCTTAAAACCTATATAGAAAATACAGAGAATGCAAAATGTTTTGACACAACTGAGGAACACACTTTTTGGCTCTAAAGTCCAGCAAAAATGTGGGAGTGCTTTTTTGGTGTCCAAGAAATGTTGTGCCAGTTGGGGGAAGGGTGCAAGAGTGACATAAATACAACTTCATTCTGACAGAAGGACAGTGAGATATTTCAAGATAACCTGAATACTGCTATTGCCATCATTTTCATTTTAGACTTTTAAACAGATGGTTGCTAGATTGAAAAAGGCTATAGAGAAAATGGTAGAAATACAAAGGCATCCTGGTGACCCTGTGCTTTAAGGAAGTTGACCCATGAGGTCAACTGAGGTCAAGAATGTCAGTCCACTATAATACCCCCATCCCCCTTCAGTCTCCCACGTCTTTCAAATATTTGTTAACCCTTGAATACATTTTCTTGTGACACAATCGTCTAAATGTTATTTGAGGAACGAAATCATAGTGTTTAAATGTAAAAAATCTTTAATGAGACTTCCAATTATATAAAAACACAACATGAGTCCATTCCTTCTGCATAAATGATTACTTACACATAGCTGCAAATACTTATGTAGTTTTCCTTGAGTAACATTTTGAATAAATGCAATGTTGTATTTTTGAATCAGGGTGCTTTTGTTCTTTTGATTTACCTAATACATGATAAATACAGGAATATCTGCCGATAGTAGCTGCAGCTAGGGTGACCAGGTGTCCCACTTTGTGTGGGACTGCACAGCATTTTTATAATTTGTCTCACACATTGAGACAATGTCCTCCATCACTGTGTCACATGTTAATCAATCAACAAAGTCTAAAAATGTATTTGTGTAGCCGGTAGAGGGCGATTGTCAAAGAGTTTTTTGTGACATTTGCAAGTTTTTTTCTCCAGCTCCAGACTCAGATGCAAATAAATAATGTGGACATGTTTTGTTGGAGAGAAAAACCCATTTCAAACCAAATAGGCTATATAAGAAAGTCCTATAAAATCCTAGTAATTATTATTTATAAGCTAGTTTCAATAGAAATGTTTATTTGTAAGGGCTAAATGGCCTTTTTTGAAATCTAAACCACCTATTATCATTGCAGTAGCAGGTCCTGCATTGTCCCACACAAACATTCTCTTTGTTCCACAGTGGCTTGTGGCACCTGGTCCCCCCTAGCTTCAGCTCTGAAGGTAAACAAAAATGGAGGCTTTTGAAAAAAATGCCACAATTTAACAAAAGCTCCTGTTGCACCAAAAAGTCTATCATGTCTCCTTCTATTATGATTTATTTTGTATTTCTATCGTTTCACTTTGAAGGCTACATCACCTAGCTTCCTGTATCATCCTGGCTTTCTGTTGCTGGCTTAACCGGCAGCAGCAAATCATCACCGGGAGACGTCACTACTCTGACTGCTCGCCCTCTGCTGCTCGTCTCTCCATCAAGGCGGCTATCAGACATCTACCGGGCACCTAACTACCGACAGGCTACCAGCTCAGGGCCAGCGTGCTGTCCTGCAATAACAAGCAGAAACCGGTTAATGCAGGCTGGGGATAAACATCAAACCAGTTAACAGAATAGTGGAGGGGAATTGAAGTTGGGTAAGGGGGCAGCCTGACCGGTGAAAGATGTGGAGAGTGAAACCGGATGCCCCGCCGGGTCAGTGCTGGCCGCCGCGGTTGTTGACACCGTTGTTGACACAGCACCGGTACATTAGAGGTGGAAGGCCAAAATTAAACATCTTAAAATATCAAGCCCCCACTGGTTCATAGTATTTTGACATCCTAGCCTGGAAGTATCAACTTTACTCCCGCACAACACGCATTATGTAACATGTTTATTTATTCTTCCATTTATCAGAAGCAGGCCGGGGAGTTTTCCAGGCCCAACCTAACCTGTTTGCTCTGTAACCTTTCTTTAAATAGTCCGGTGTGTCCATGACATGGCGAAAACAAAAGAGCAGCTACAAATAGGTAGGCTACTTACTGCCATCTAGTGTTTAAAATGTACAGCTACATGGGCTCAATCTCAGGAGAAAAGTAATTGAAATTTATGACAAAAGGCGCTAAGACAAAATTGGATTCGGAAACCATTTTTTATTTTGTAAATGGGTTGGCGCTCAGACTGTACACAACAGATATTTTCTGAGTTGGACCCAATAAAACCAAAAGGAGCATCCAGTGACAAGGAAGCAAAGGTAGTCAGGAAACAGCAGAGAAGTAAAAGGTGTTGAGTAAAGCTGTCTTTCTGTTCTTACATACTTTAGATCTCTTATCATCTTAAGATTTAAAAAAAGGTTTGATCTCCCGCTTCATGGGGACCACTCTGCTTCCTGCCAATGTGTATCCTGAACATGTCAAGCAGTTGCCCCTGGTGAGTGACTTTTGTACAAAAAGACAAAAACGAATTAAAATAAAATTCAAAGACCACATTACAGAACACTTGAATAACAACAGGGGGAGAGAAATAAAAACAATGTGTAGTTATGGCAGAACAAGCCTGAACGGTAACACTCATTAAATCAATATGAAAACTATTTACCCCAACAAACATGGGCATGTTTATCTGCCTTGTAGATATACGTTATAAAGTACTGACTGAATTCATGCCAAGGCTCAAAACACCTCCCTTCACTATAGCTGGCAATATATAGTGCTGTGACCAGAGACGGACAATTTCATACACTACACGTGTTATAATGACCACATTAGTCCATTTATCATACTTTTCTAATACAACATATTAAATAAAAGAATAGGCTAAATCTCTCACGACAAAGCTATGCAGATTATCATAGAAACTGATGACAAGACAATCTATCGACACACAGGCACAGTGCACAAGCTTGCAGGCAGGAAATGGAAAATAAATCTTTGTAGTTTTTAAATAGTACAAAAACGCTTTTTTATTTTTCACTTTTTTTCTTCAAAATCACAACTCAAAGTACGAAGCCAGACCTTTGATCTGCTTTAATGTGAGGAAGAAACAGTAGCTCTGTAGTCGTTGCCCTCTGAAGAAATACGTGGCGTAAATTTAGCTCATAAGATTATCGGTTCTTCAACCTTTGGCTGAGAATCGTGTTCTGCTGGCAGTTTGTCTTCTGTGGACGTTAGCGTTCAAGGAGTTGCCTCTTTTAATCAAATCCATTTGATTTACAAATATTTTAATCAGCACTGTGGTAAGGCAGTGACAGACTAAATATTCGATATGGGCCAAATCAGATGTGATAATGCACATTGTTGATGTGTTGTGGGATTCCCTCTCCGTCTCTTTCCCCCTGCAGCTGGCTGTGGGTTAATCCTGCATTTATATAACCATAACAAATATGGTTAGAATCCAAATACTGTGTTGAATCAATGCCAGCGAATCTGTGAGAGATGAAACGCCGCTGTAACAGACGTAGTGAAACAATAAAGCTTGTACACACAACTTTACAGCCTCTTGCAGCTCAGACATGCAGAACAAGCTATTTACTGAGACAAGCCCAGAAATTAAATGAAAAAAAAAAATGAAAATAGTTTTTCATTTGAACTGTAAAACATGAAAATAAGAAAAACATTTCTATATAGTCAGGTTTTTCTCTCCTTTTTTAATTTTTAATAATAATCCAATATTTTTGTGCAGTTCAAACTAAAAGCAGAGAGTAGAGTCTAATTCCATATATTTATCAAGCGATCATGTAATAAGAGATTGTCCTCAACCTTCCTGACGGGTTAAATAAAATAAGAATAAAAAAATAAAATAAATCTCTTATGATCTGAAGATAAACTCCTTGGTGTATAGTAAACATCTCATTGATGAAACCCGGAATGAAAGCACAGTCGAAGTGTGCTCTAACCAATCGACAGGTGTGCGTGTGGTTTTTAATATGTAGTTAAGGGCACTGGAAAAGAAAATTCCTGCAGTGTTTCTCGCTCGGTGCTGCCGCAAAAATGTTTTGGATTGGACAGGGGGTTTCCTCGACCCATCATGCTTTGCTCTCGGTGGAATTTGTGTGTATGACACTGTTGTGTTCTGCAGTAATCTCCGTCAGGGCGTTTGTCATTTCTGCCTCCTCCACTTTGTCTTTCTGATCAGAGAACATCTTCCTGCAATGGAAAAAGGGAGAAAGTGCACAATTTGAAATCTGGTCATCCCTGTGTAGAGCAAACAAAACTTTAGTTTCACAAAAAGGTTACACAATTTTAACCATTTACTCTGAATGACACCTTTACTCAAATATGTAAGAAGACAGTGTTTGTGTTTAGAGGTCTTCTTACATATTTCTTCACCACCTTGACAACAGTAGGATAAAGTTAAACAAACAGATAAGGACACTCTCATATGAATCATTTGGTGTGGACTAACCTTCCTGATTTAAAACGGTATTTATCAGCTCTGCCCTTAAGACATTGTTCAGCCTTGTGGTGTGTGTGTATATCCTGAGGCAGTGAGGAAGAGTATCTACATCCTGCCTGCAGCTCTTGTCCTCTCCTGGGGAGGATTTAGCACTCAGAGGCAATACAGTAACTGCCTGAGACAAAACACTTCCTAATGAAACCCCCTTTCAGACATGCAACGTGTAACACTGCTGGCTCATGTATGTGAATTTGTGATATGGTTTTATCAATCAGACTTACAAAGGGGATGTTAGGACTTAAATCAGCCACAATTATTGTGCAACATCACCATCTAGTGCATGAGAAGCAGAGGTCGCACTGTGGGTTGGAAAGCAATGATATCACTATATCTGTTCTCTAAACAGCCTGCCTTCATGTTAATGTTAAATCTCATTCTTCTGTTGAAGCCTTAACTAATTAGTATTTTAAGTGTCAGGATTTCCTCATCCCCCATCACATGTGCTTATATCATGTATCTCTTCTGTATATTTTCCAGCGGCCACCAATGTTGTCACAATACACATTTCCTAAACGTATCTCCACTTTATAGACTGCGACCAAAAGTCTTTAAAAGGTTCAGTGATCCCTGGTTTATTAAACTGAGATATATATATATATATTTTTGAACATAAGAGATGATAAAGATAAAGATATACATCTGTGACAGCGTTAAAACACGACATGTATTTAGGTGTGCTGTTACTAAAACCAGAAATGGAGAAAAGAAACAGCTGTCATTGAGGGGGGGGGGTGGCGAGACAACATAATTGCATAAATATGTGGAAACGGTTTTTGTGTGTAAGGTATTTAAAGTGTTTGTGAAGATAAAAAAGGACAAAAATAGTTGGCTAGGCAATGAAAGAGAGCTTGAGAGGAAAATATCCAGCCCTGCTTACTTTGTCCTTTCTCCCCTCTGCATGTTGGATTGCCACTTTCAATTAGCTCCTCGTAAAGATGTGTGTGTGTGTGTGTGTGTGTGTGTGTGTGTGTGTGTGTGTGTGTGTGTGTGTGTGTGTGTGTGTGTGTGTGTGTGTGTGTGTGTGTGTATACATACGGGCAGGTGTAATCCGACAGCATGTAACTCAGACTTGTGCTCTGTTGGGCGTTTTGCAGAATAGTTTTGAACTCAGACATGTCAAGTAACAAGCTCCATGTCTGAAAGGGGCTTAAATAATTCTTGTGGTGAATGTTGCAAAAGTGGAGGCCCCACTATGAAGAATAGTTACAAACACAAGCATAAAACCATTACCGTCATATCACTCGTGTGTCACAATCCACAACCTCTTACTGATAAATAACCCAAATGTCATTACCACGGTTTACCATTACAATATTTAATTTTGTGTGGTCAATGGCAAGATGCAGTGGTGAATGAATGGGCATACAAGTTACACACACACACACACACACTCACACAAACACACAGATAAACCTCTAGAGGGAGCCGTACTCATCGTTGACAGGAGGAGCAGTCTTGGCCAGAGTCTCTGATGCCTCCAGAGCTGGGCCTGAGGGGGGGAGGTCTGCTGCATCTCCATTGGCCAGAAGGGGGGCAAAAGGGGGGCTTTTTAAGCTAATAAGGTATTTGCCAGTTTCCATCCCGTTTGCAATCTCAAAATCTGTATCTGCATTTTTAGGCCCTTCAACAGAGGAAAGTAAGGCGTATCTGTCTGACCACGATGCAAAGGGATCCTTAGAAACCGGCTCCTCAACGGGGGGGGCGTGAGGGGAGGAAATAGTAGTGACAGGTAAAGGAGAAAGAGCAGATTTTTCAGCATCCAGGACTTTAAGAGCACCGTGGATCCCTGAAAGAGAGCTAGTTTCAGCATCTTTGGCAGTGTTAGTATGGCCAGGTTGGTCAATAGGGTTTTTAAGGCTTTCAGGATCTGGTTTTGGAGGGGCAGTGGTTGCTAGAGGTGCGTCAGTGTGTACCGGGGTCTCTGTCTCTGAGGCTACAGTGTGTGGTTGTATGGGCAGCTGCTTGACCGGTGGCTTTGGAGCAGTTTTCCTGATGTTGACAGAGGGAGAGGGCACTGGGGAAGACGCAGCCAGGGGCGATACAGGCGGGCTAGCTTTAGCATTCATAGCGGCGAGTTTAGGAGAGTTTCTACGCTTCGGGGGAATCGGCGTCCCGGATTTTGCCGCCTTTGCCCAATCGGGGCTAGAAGGAGGAGTGGTTATTTTCTCCAGTTCTTCGAGGGCGTTACTTCCTCTTTGTTCTACTAACGGGGCCATTTTAGCTTCGATGGCCGAGGTGAAGATGAGGGGAAGCGGCGGGGCCGTGTTGGACTCTGGAGTTGGGGCCGGGGCCAGGATGGGGGTGGGTGAGGGGTCATTGGGCAGGGTAGACAGGCTACAAGTGAGGGTAGTGGTCTCGCTAGAGGGGCTGTCCTGAGAGGGGTCAATTGTCGCGGTGGCTGTGTCAGAGTTGGTGGCTACGGAGGAGAGCGTGTCCAGTGCCAGAGCAGCAGTGAAAGCCGCCAGCCTGAGAGAGCAGGGAGAGAACAGAGACACACAGACTAGACACCAGGGTGACTGTGACAGAGGAAGGGTGGCTCGCACGAGAGCATGCAGAGGGGTTAGTTAACTTAAGAAAAATCACACAAACATAGAGAAAGCAACTTAAAAACAGCAACAATTAAGCCTAGTGAGAAAAAGAAACAAAAGAAGGCATCATGCTGTGAGTGGACATTGGAGGATACATCCCATACACACACCAACATGAAGTACGCTCACTAAGACAACTAACGTCCGGAAAAAAAGCACCAGGCTTCCTGTAGGTAACTACAGCACCACCCGTAAGGGTTCAACAGTACCAGTGACAGTCTCACACTGTATCGTCTGATTTCTCTGATTCTCCTGCTGATAATGAGAGATGGCTTCATGTGAGTTGACCACACTCAAGAGGACTACAAGCTTTAGTGTCTTTAACTGGTATTGCTAACCTTGATACAATGAGACACGTCTCTAAAGACTGGAGAAGAAACACAAAGAGTAGTAATCCCTCTGAAAGGGAATAAAAACAGAAAAGCAACACAGTTCAGTGGACTCCACCCAAGAATGACATGATGTTTTCTTTTTTTTCTTTTTTTTTTTAAACGGGTCAAATTGTTTGCTGTCAAATTTGATAATTATTCTTAGAAGTGGAGTGCAATGCACAACAGCTAAATAAAAAGGACTTGAGCAGTTGAAGGCTGTGTGCTTGGGGGCTGTCTCTACTCACTCTGGCTCTGTGAGAGGTGTGGTTTCATTGGGTTCTGTCGGTCCTGCTGCGTTGTGATTGGCTGTGCACTCGTCCTCTGTTCTGACCTCCACTATTGGCTCTTTGGACTCATCTTTCCTGCAGGACATAGAGACAAAAAATGGCAACAGATATCTCATCAAACAGTTATTGGTCCCACAGTGGCTGTATGTAGCACGAATCAATACACAAGGCAACTTCCCTCTTAGTGATTCAAAACGGCCTTATTTTGCATATGAGAGTATTTGTTCGACGCCTCACTTAAAGCCGGCATCTTATATATTTTGACTGAAGGAGAAATCTACTCTAAAAACTAAGTCTCATCCATATGATGGGCCTGTTTGATTGATTTGTTTATTTCCCTGTCTTGCAGATAATTACAAAGCGAACTCTAATCCAAAGCAGTCACAACAACGACGTGTTGGTTTTGCAAAGAGGCACAACCGTTTTTCTTTAATGGCAAACCCCCCCCCCCCCCGATTATATCTTGCTTCACTAGCCTCAACGTCAAACCTTAAGCTAAGATTCTTCATCATCATCACTGTCAGTCCTTGAAGGCCTTCTGGGGAATGTAGGAAGTGACCTTTTAAAGTAGCAGTCGGCAAATGCAAGTAACATAAAATAAAGAACTATGTGATCAGAATAGTTTCTGTTTATTCTACATCTAACTTTACTCTTTTTCAGAACTGGACATACTTTTAACATACTTTTCTTTTTGGCAATGTTAGCCATTTATACATCCAGCAGAAGCTTAATATTGATTTAAGGCATATGACTTCTGTATCTGGATATATTCTCTGGATAACATTATCTGATATATCCGGTCATTACTTTTTTTCTTAAATTTGAATCTATGCAAGGGTAACTGCTTATAAAATGTGTCTGCGTGAATTTGATGACGCTGGTACTCACATGAAGGCCGCCTTGCCCTCCTCAGGGTTGTGCCCTTTGGTGCCGGTGCTTGATTTACCGCAGAGGCACATGATGAGGCCACATTTGTTGACAAAGTAACAGGTGACGTCCACAGCTAGCAGCAGGAGTACAAATGCTATAACAAGAATCCCTGCCCAGAGCATGATGCCCATGGAGAGCGCCGCCTCATCGCCCAAATCTGCTGGAGAAGAGACAAGAGAGGCAGAGTGCTGAACAACTGCAGCGTGACACTTTCAAACAAACACCCAGGAACAACTGAATAAAAGTGCAGTTACGCTACAGTGACCACAAGAAGTTCCATAAAACAAAAACAACTCACCTGCTATGAGACACAGTTTGTTGTCTTGGCATGAATTTGGATGTATTGTGAAGTTTGTGTAGAATGTATAACAGCTATCGTTAAAAAACACATGTAAAAATAACATATCCAACCCATTTATTTGGTATTAGAAAGAAGAGCAAACCAAAGAGTACACTGTATTGCTATTACCCTGAAATGCAGGATAATTATGGACGAAAATGAATTTGAGGCTTTTCCAAAAATCACGAAAGGCTATGACGCATGTTTTCTGTAAAATCCACACGAAAATATCCTCTCTGTTTCTAGACAATTATAAACCTTTAGATACCAATATTAAAGGAAGATCTGCTCGAGAATAAAATGCATCTGAGTGAAGCACCCTCCATAGTCCATTGTATAAAAACATCTATTATTGAATGATATGTGATAAACATTACATGCATGATAGATTTTAGACATTTGTAAACAGCACAGTTTTTTTGTGATCATTACAGCTTTTCAAACCAATCCAATATTATTATTATTATAACATTTTTCAGTTAGGTGTTGTATGTAAACGTTAATATTACAAATCTTGACATTACATATAATCATTTTGTGAGCAATTAAATTATATAATACAGGGTTTGTGTAAACAGACAGGACACTCAAGCTATTTATCTATTGTTGTTTTTGTTTTTTTTAAATATAACCTTATTCCACTATTGCTCATTACTGTAAACTGGCAGTTGTCTGTTGTCTACTGCTGATGACTAGCTGTGCTTCTGCTGAGGAGGAGGATATCCAATGCTTTGGGTTCAGCATCCTCTCCCAGAGACATAGAGACATAGAGAGACACGTCTGTCACGGACAAAGTCTGTTTTTAAGAAGTGAAAGCGTCCAGAGAGACAGCGAGGCCTGAGAAAGGCCAGCGCTGCTCCACAGTTATGGTGTGAAATCCCCATGAGAACTATGAGATCAGGAGCACAGTGATGAGGGACATGATGAGTGATGCCAAAGTGCATGTCACGGATGAACGGCCCTGAGTGGCTGAGGAGCGGGAGGACAACCCTGACCACACCAAAACGCACACAGGGCGAGACGGAAATGTTCACGTGGTCCACCACAGCAATGTCCGGGACCAGGCGAGAGAGCAGGAACATTGAGAGAGGGGACAAAAGACAGACAGAGAGAATAAAAGGACAGAGAGAGGGGGGGAATGAAGGGAAACAAAGTGGAAAACAAGAGAGGGGCGGGGAAAACAGAGGAAGAGAGAAAGTGAAAATGTGTCAGGTCTGAAAACCAAAAGTAAAAAAAAAAAAGTTCTTGTATTGAGGGAGAAAGAAAGAAAAATAATACAGCAACACCTCAAAGCAAAAGCACAGCATGAACAAACGGGGAAACTACACACTGTGGACTAGATGGTGAGTGTGGTGGGTGAGTGGGAATGCTTTAGATTGGAAAATGAATTAGAAAGGAAGTGAGAAAAAGACATAATGGTTTGTTGCCATGTTTCAGCAAAGCACTCGGCGGCGTCTAGCACCTAAAGGGAATCCGAGCAGCGTTGTAAAACCTTCAGCTGCAGTTAAGACTTGGAGGCACAAGTTAATCAGCGGTTATCAAGGTTCAATTTAAGGACTGCTTCCACACAGGGACAAACTGTCCACTCTGGCTACTATTTAAAGCAGTAAACAAAGCTAAAGGACAAATACTATCATTCAGAGGAAATCATTTTATCCTCTGTGGAAAGAGCCTGTCCCAGTTCTGCGAGCGCAAACTCAAGCTCATTTCGCAAGGGCTGTCAAAACGTTAAAGTGGGAAAATTCAGCCGGAAAATCATTTCTGGCTCACCGCCGTTCAGGAAATCTATTTTTTTCCCCTGTAGATTTATTTAGGTGTCATTCACCTTTCAGAGCTAGAGAGTTAGAAATAGAGCGTGGCGACTGGTTTTGAGCTTTGAGTTTGGCTCCACAGTTCTCTGGTTGTTTAGTTGCATTCTGAGGGAGAGTACCTGCGATGGCTTCTGGCTCGGGGGCCGTCCTGAAGGACATGGTGGCCGGCTGGGACCGTCCCTTCTGGTTCTCTGCCACCACAAACACTTTGTACTCCGTGTCCCACTCCAACCCGCTCAGATTCACGTAGTCGCTGGAGTTGGGTATCCGGATCTCGGGTTTCCACTCCTTTATCTCCATCTGAGAAGGCAGAGAGAGATACAGTTCAACTAATTTTTTCAATATTATACTATACAGATTACCTTCTTAAAATATATGAATCCCTTTGTCTTTAGAACCTCAAACAATTCCACATCAACATTTTCAAACTTATAGAATTTTTAGTTTTAGCCAACCAACATTTTACTTTGATCTCTGACAAGAAAAAAACACGATTTTCATATTTAATAACTTGAGCCCTCACAATTTTGTCCACTTTTGCTTGAAAACTGTCTTGAAAGTGAGTAATCGATTAGCGTTATATCAGACACACTTTCTGTCGACTAATTGAATAATAATTTCAACTCTGCATGTAATAACATTAAGGTTTGAACAGGACAGTACTGCACTAATCTTTTTACACTGTGCATTATATCTCTCTAAGATGTTAGACTTAAGAAGACTCTCTAGATGCCATTACGGCTGCAACTAAGTTTATCATTAATTATTCATCTGAAATGTTTTAACTTCTCGATGAACCAATTTATCTTTTGGAATATAAAATCTAGGCAAAATAGTGAAAATATCAGTTGTTCAGTTTAATATCACAACATTAAAACACAACCGGCAAATGTTCTTTTTTGAGGAGCAAAAAGTATTTTGCGTAAAACAAATATGAATCGATTATTTCTTTACACCAATGACTTCCGCTCTAAAGGCCGTACTCACTGGCTTATAGCGGATGAGGTAATGTATGATGGGCAAGCCGCCGTCGTCCTGCTTGGTCCAGCTGACTTTGAGGGAGTTGCCTTTGGGCAGAAGTGACCCGTCCAGTTTAGGAGGACTGGGATGCCCTATAGGAACAAGACAGAGGTTAGATAAAGGCTCATTCAAAAGATGCTGAGAAAGACAGGCTTATCTTATTAGCAGAACATTGTGTCTGACCACCAGTACCTTTAAAGACCAATAGAGCACAGAAAAACTAATATCTTGTTTAGAAAATAAAAGCCACAACCGTGAAACTGGCCTCTTTGCGGCTGTCCTTAAAGACTCTTGCCCTTCCTCATTGCCCCCCTCAAGATGGCTTGTCACAGTCAGACTAATTACCAATGACACACCGCCGCATGCTAATCTGAGTCAGTGGCTGAGTGACATTCACCCAGTGTCATACAAGGCTCCAGGGGAATTGATTATGAATGACGTTTCTTAATGAAAGATTTGCAGGGTAACATGTTTGTGTCTTGAAACACACTTAGAATTTAATAAACAATGTTTTCTTAAACTCTACTGTCTTACACAATCAGTGTTTAAACATAAAGCTACGAAATTAAGTCAAATTGAAATGTATCACATGACAACTGTAAGACTGCATTAAGTTATCAAATTGCTAGTTCTTTGTATCTATCTCAGACAAAGTGTTAGATTTTGCTCCTATGACATGTGAAGTTACCCGCGATCGATGCTGTTATTTTTGCTCCCTTTAAGACACATTATCCGTCTCCTATCATCAATATATATTATTGATGATGCGCAGCTTTATGTATCTATTAAACGGGAACTTTTAAACTTTGAAATGTGTCTCCTTTTGTCTGAATGATATTAGGGGCTGGATCTTGTACTTCACAATAAGATACATAAGTCCTGGTCTTTGCTTAATATCAGACTCTACATTTTAACAAATGTACTCACTGTAGACTTCTAACTAAAAGATGGGGTTGGAGAAACTTCAGGGTCATTTTTTTATTCCCAATTGAACTCTGAGAAACATTCAGGAAGTTATTAAGTATCCATTATTACTAACAACTTTAGGACTCTGGTGCTGAAATCAAAAACCTTCCAATTACTTTTAAAGTGTTAAACAATTTGTCTCTCCCTCTGGGGGGAAGATCAGCAAACCCCTCAGTGTTTCAAGACCTATTTATTCCCCAAAACAGCTGATGCTTCCTGAGCCTGATATGTTGTTATTCTCAAACAATATTAATCCTTTTTAATTTAAAAAGCTCAAATGTTTAACCAGGCTTGTTATGTTCTTATGTGTAACTGTGAGGCACTTTGTTACCCTGTCTACAACAAGAGAAAATATGTATTATGGTTAGTGCTCATTTTCGGACTCATAATGTGGCTTGCCTTCAAAACAATTGTTACGTTTGGTCCAAGTGTTTAGCCTGTAATGCAGTTTAAGATTAAACATGATAAACAATGGGTAGCTATTGTTCTCAGCAGCAACACTACAAGCTATTGATAGAGAACCAGAGCTGGCTGTAGAGGCATATTTTTACGAATTGTGTGGTGGGCATGATGAGGATTTTCCTGTGATTAGAAGCCACTGTTTATCACACACCTGATTTGTAAAACCTCATCCAAAAGTAGGGTTTTGCTTTCAATACCACCCGTTTTGCTTTCAATACCACCCGTGTGATGCTGATATTAAACACTCTTGACTGTTATAGATTACCGTGAAGACAGCTCTGGCTCCCTCTCATTTATCCTGCTGAGGCAAGTGTCTACATGACTGATTAATGGGATTGAGATAGACGTTTACTACATGACTGCATAGAGGCAATTAATGTGTTGTTTAACTTTGGGATTTTCCGGTTAAAGTGAAGGGATCTTCTATTGCACCAGTGTGTTACCTTCTGCAGAGTGGAGGGGACCATCAGAACCATGCAAGGCAAATAACAGTCACATAAAACGACACGTGTGAGTGAAAGGGGAAGAAGGACATGAGAGACAGAACACAGGTACAGGTAGAGAAAACGTAAATGAACTGGAGAGAAGCAAAAACAGAAAGATGTGGAATCACAACACAGCTTCTCATACTAATATACAATAAAGTAATAATCTATTTGGGTTCTCAATCTGAAAAGTGCAGTAGACTACTGCAGCTTTATCCGTTTGAGTCAAGCGACTTTATAATTTGCAAGGTAAGTGATTAAACAATGCTAAAGGACCACATTTAAAACATTTCCAAATGACACTAAAATGATGAAGCCAGAGCAGATATTCATTATAATGTTATTAAAGCCAATTAATTCACAAGCCACAAATCAAAGTGAGTAAAAGTCATCATTTGATAACTTGGCTGTCAACTCAAACAATGTGGGTGAGATAGAATCTACGGATGACAGACACAGAGGAGTTTGCTTTTCTAATCGGGTAATACAAGGTTACAGTTTCTAAAAAACAATATTTGCTATGTTCTAAAGTTATTATAAATGCAGCTAATGGGGGTAATCCTGTTGGAAACAAAACAGCAGTACAAACTAATGTTATATGGTCCTCTCTACAGAACAAACCTGTTTCCTCTGTGAAAAAAGGAAAAATGCCGTCTAGGGACATAAAGAGAAGATATCAAGCAATCAGATTCAGTTGTCTGCATAAATGAATGCGTCAATCTCTGTAATAACACTTTACTGGAGAGCTTAGTCAAACGCATTTCTGCCAAACTGCAGCAGTCAAGCAAGAGGAGAGTAACCCTCTTGTTTTAATGATCCCCACATTTAGTGTTAGAATGAGACAGATGCAGCACACAGGAACACATGAGGCTTCAAAGGTGGCAGGAAGTGAAAAACAAAAACGTTATCCAAGGAAAATATTTAACCGCATTTATTCTTATTTGTTTTTAATTTTACCCTTAACATACTGTACATCAGTTTTTGTCCAATGTTATATACTGCTTTGAAAAAAATTGTGACAAAACATTAAGATTTGGTCTGCTGTCTTAGTCCTGAATAATCGATTCATTTAAGATAAACCATTAATATTTTAAGTCAGTAAATAATAAAAAAAGACAATGACTTTTGCCTGCCACTAAAAACCGACTGACGATGTTAAAACAAATCTGAGTTGATGAATACATCATATCAATATTTATCGTGCTGTGTTGATATGAGTGGGATTCAACTAATTACATAGTAGCTATTTATTTGATTTACTCGTTTGATACTGATAAACAGCATTTTGAACCACCTAATATATAAATGCACTTTAATACAGGGGTATCTCCTCTTGCACTTGTATCTTCTCCTGCACTTTATGTATATAAATGTCATGTTCTTAAATGTTGTATGTGACGGGACTACGGATGGAAATTAGCTCAAAAGCTAAAATCCAGCATGTTTACGTTTTAAAGCATTATTTGTTTTAAATGTTCATCAATATGCACTGTCCCTCTTCAAATAAACGATTAAATTAAAATTAGATTAAAGCATTCATGTAACAACTATTAAACCACTGCAGCACGGTTTAACATTTGTATTAAGCTCTTCATAGACTGTTGACTCACACCATCAAACCTCAGCAGCCTCTGTAAAGCAAGCATTCAACACGTATACTTTCATTTGTTGCCAAAAATAAAAATCTAGATGGATCATGAACCTTGTACCAGGAGTTCTTTCGCATGTTCAGCCGTCCCATCCACATGTCGGACAACAGGAACTGGGTGCAGGTGTGAGCCACGAAGGGCCGCAGGTGGGAGGAGACGGCCAGCTTCAGACAGGTGGAGTTGCTCCAGTTCTTCAGCTCGTAGGTGAGCAGCTTCATGGCCATGGTCTCATCCTGCCTGAACGACTCCTCCAGCAGGTCCACTGCCAACGTCCCAAACTCACTGAAAAGGCAAGGCAAGATTATTTGTAAAGCCCCTTTCAACACAAACATGAAAGAAATTAAGAAAATGGCATTTAAAAACAGTCATTAAAAAGCAATAATAAACATAAAAAGACAAAATACATGAATAAAGGTTAAGGTGCAGTGTAAGATATGAATAGTTCAATGAGAAGCAGCGGCAGAAAGAAAAGTCTTCAGCATCAATAAACAGTTTAACACACCTTCACTTTGATAGAGAAATTTGAGCAATTTATAGCTACCTGTCATTTTTAGATTTGATTAGATTTATTTTTAATGTGTAAAACAATAATAAAAAAATTAACATGAGAATTATTATACAATACAAAATCAAGCAGTGTCAAATAATAAAACAATAGGTAACACTTTACAATAAGACTACCCTCTTATTTATAATTAGGTTATGAATTAGGTTGTAAACACTTTAGTAATCATTAAGAACCATCTATAAACCAGTACTATCATAATTTTCATACGTCAACACAGGCTCACTATTTTGGCAAGATGACTAAGCCAAGTAAGCCAAGTAGCCAATACTGAGTTGATTCTCGCTAATTAGCCAATATAAGGCTTAGTCATCTGCAGACCCGGCCCCATGGGCGGGCCCCATGGGGCCGGGCCCGCCCACCCAGGATTTGGGCTCGCAGTTTTAATCAGGGCTGAATACAACATTTTAATTGTTATATTATTATGTTTATGGTTGTTATTTGTAGGGCTCTGTCCTAATATTTATTTTTGTTTTAAACTATGTAGAAAGATTAGTTTAATATCATTTTTTTATTTTGCTATGAAATTCTTAATGAAATTCTGAATGAAAGGCAAGACTGGTTTTTCGCTGGGTTGAATCATTTGGGTGTTTGAGTGAGATGCGGCACAGCAGCCTGTCAGTTTACTCTTGCTAGGTTAGTTTGGCTATTATCATTTATATTTATCTGCAACAATGGATATCAGGAAGTGGTTCACGGACAAAAAGAGCTCACAAAAGGAAATTGGCAACTCAGCGCCAGATGCAGGCACATTAGAATAAATCAGTTATGTTACCAACGAGCTAGCAAGCCAGCCAGGGACAAGGGAGGCTGGCCATCAATTCTATTTTGAAAAGAAATTGACTCTCAAGCTCTCTCACAAACTCCTGCTCTGTGCGCAAGCAGACCGCTGCACACGCTCTCTCCCTCGCTCTCTCCCTCGCTCAACCTCTCTCGCTCTCTTCCTCGCTCAACCTCTCCACCCTGCGTGCTCGCTCAAGTTGGCACAGCGTTACAAATGTGCCACAAAACCAACCAATGGGTGTATAATAAGACCGTCAACAGCCTGATGGCAACCTAAAACCCCTCTCTTTCCGTATCTCAGATAGAAGATATGATTGGAGACGAAACAGAACGGCACCGACTTTGCTGAAGTCCGGCACCGCCCTTTATTTTAACAATTCACGAGGAAATGTAATTGTCGGGTGGGCCCGCCCTGGTAACTCAAATGCCCGCCCACAGATGTCTGTCTGCCGCCGGGTCTGCATGTGTGTGTGTTTGTTTAGAGACCTTAAACCAGGGGACGGCAACAGGCGGACCGCGGTCCGGATTCGGACCCAGACGCCGACCTATACGGGCCCGGACCTAATCAATACATTAATAGGGGATTTGAATTTTGACGGGGCGATTCTATTTTAACCGCTGCCGACAGGGGGCGAAAGAGACGAGTGAGCGATACAGGGAGAGAAACACAGAAGAAGAGACGAGAGAGAGGCAGAGAGAAGCTGAGAGGAAAGTGAGTGAAGAGAATAATTAGCGATACAGGGAGAGAAGCTGAGAGGAGAGTGAACAGGCGTGTTAGCGGCAGACAGGGAGAGACAAATAATTACACATGGCGCTCTCCAAGAAGAGGAAAGTGGACAGTGAGAACAGAGCTTTTAGCCCTGAGTGGACTCATTCATGTTCATCCTGCCGACTGGGAGCACAGAACCAGTGTGTCTCATTTGTTCAGAGACCGTGGCGCTCATTAAAAGTGCCAAAACGCCATTATGAGACAAAACACAAAGTGTTTGACCAAATGTTCCCTCTCAACTAAGAACTAAGGTCACGAAAACGAAATATCGTTCCAGCGCAGGCTAACCGAGGCTAACCAATGAGCACCTGCATGTGTGTATGAGAATGACCCTGACACCATTTCAGCCCAGATTTAAACTCCTGCCAGGACAAGCTCAATCTTCGCACTGAACAGAACAAAGTGAGTGAGGGACTGCAATATAAGAGGGAAAGAAAGAGAAACTTCAAAACTGTTCAATTGTTATGATGTGTAAAGACTGATATTGTTCTATAATCGGCTGAAATTGTTAAGTCATGATGTGAAACGGTTAACAAAGAAAAAGGGAAACTCAAGCTGCTGCTACACTTTATTTTATTTATCTAAAATCAAGCACTTTTAAGATGNACTTGACACAGGATCAGGCCTCCCTCTAGGAAGAATTTTCTTTGTCCAGGTGTAGAAGGAGGGTGGACAATTTCTCCGTCTACGGTGTAGTCTTCGGCGTGAACCGTCCCGTGCTTCTTGTTCAGCAATAACCCGTGTGCTCTGCGTGGTAACCGCACCTGTCGTCCATACCTTATGGTGACCGTGGTGCTTTTCCATGTTTATACTGTGTGTGTGGTGTGTGTGTGTGGTGTGGGGTGGTTGTGTGTGTGTGTGTGTTGTGTGTGTGTGGTGTGTGTGTGTGGTGTGTGTGTGTGTGTGTGTGTAGTGTGTGTGTTGTTCTTATACGGGAAAGGAGAGACCCTATTACGCCTATACTGTCTCGATTTAGGGTCTAGTTTACTTCCGAGAAACTCAGTCCAACGAGAGAGGTCACTTAGCACGACAAATACAAATTTACAAACAAAAAACAAAAAGTTAGCAGAACACAGAACTATAGACGAAGGAGGAGACGGTACAATAGTGTAAACCTCGACGACACCACGGTCAGTGTAAAGTCTGAACTAAATTTGGTTATTTCATAGATAGCATAAGCACAACATGTTTCTTACTTTTGCTTTCGAAAAAGTTCCTAATAGTTTTGCGACTACTACACATTTTTCCAATTTTCGACTGAGGTGAAAGTTGACTCTCTGGTAAACAGTTGTGTGACAAGTTACTCCCTACAATTGGGAAAGTGAGAAATTATACAAATGTATGTCGTGTGTGTGTGGTGTCGTCGCACCTTTACTTGTGTGTGTGTGTGTGTGTTGTGTGTGTGTGTTGTGTGTGTGTGTGTGTGGTGGTGTGTGTGTGTGTGTGTGTGTGTGTGTGTGGTGTGTGTGGTCTATTAGAAGGAGAGAGTGGCGTAAGGTTTTTTAGGGAGTTTTGGTGGACAAAGTTAGGACGTAAGTTTGGAGACTGGGGGGGGGGACGGGAGAAACGAACAAAAACAAACAGAGAATTCCACCCAAATGGCATTAAGTGAAGTCTTTGTGAAAAACAATATAAGGTACCTTTACCGAGAATTGTAGGCTATCCGTTAACTTAATGTAAATTTAGAAACTGTTATTTATGTATTTTTTTACAGGAGGACACCTTCGGCATGCGACATTTTTCGTTGCTGGTTAAAAGTAGACTAAACCATAAAAGTTTTTGAGGATTTTTTTCGCGTGGAGGTCGGACCAAAGAAAGTAAGAATGGAATGGGGTGGAAATTACATAAAAAAAGCAAAAAATTAAACTAAGAGGACAGTTTCGCAGAAACGCAAATTCTTTTAGCGAATGTTTCACAGGTACATAATAATATAAATAATGACCTTCGTCGATAAAGGTGAAATGAGGACACCGCTACCGACGGCGAGAGACGCGGGAGGTGCCGAGACGGTGGAAGAGAAAACCAAACCCCAAAAATTCTCCTTAGTTGACGAGGGATAGGTGTGCGTGGGTCGTGAATAAAAACATGAAGGAAGAAGGAAACCACCGCAGACCCTTTTGCACGTTGGGAATGGGCACGCGAACAAAGTCGGTAAGGCGGGGAGCATGAGGTAGGCAACTACGAAGAGGCCTTTGAGGGTTTAGGGCAAAGCGACAGCAAGAAGGTGAGCGGGTACATCCAGAGCCACCACCACCGCAGGTGCACAGGAGGTGCCATTTAGGAGAGCAGGCCGTTCGGAGGCAGTGGCTATCTTCACCTCAACCGAGCGAACTCGACTACGCATGAGTAACGCCTGCAGTGAAGAGCGCCTCGACCAAACGACCTCTACCTGCTGAGGGCTTCAGTCTAAAGGACTCGGACGGCCTCCGAGCGGCTATGTCGCTAGGGGCTGCTTCTCCGGGGAAAGAAGAAAACCCACTGCATGGAGCGACAGCCTCACCTTAAGTCGTGCCCGCAGCGCTTTGCTCTCATTGCACTGTGAGGGTGTGTGTACACGCTGGGAAAAGGTCTCGCGTGTTTCCATTTTTGTTTCCAGAGGTGCACACGAATTTGCAATCATAGAAACAGCTGAACAAGCATTTAAGTCATACGTTAAATCCATTGTTCACTGTATTCCTGCTGCACACATATATGAAAACACAGTCAATGGATCCATGAAAATAAACACAAGCAATGGTAGTCCCAAAGTGATAACGAGTCAATCAGATAATTAAAAGAAACGTAATTAAATATAATTGAACTTTTATCAATTAAACAGTCAATTAGTCTTTTAGTCTCACCAACAAACTGTACATTTTTCAGCATTTCTCAGACTGAATATTTATCAATTTGTTAATATTGTCGCGCGAAGGTCCGTTTACACCGGGTGTTAAACAACATCGTTATGGGGAAATGCAAGTTTGCGTCCAAATGGTTGGAAGATAAGGAGGAAGGACAATCAATACTGTATATAGTCAATGTGAGGTAAAGTGTGTCGCCAAGGTAACCGGGTAGAACTCCAAGTGGAGATGAGGTCTTAAAATGTTTGGAAAGGGTCTTAAAAAAGGTCCTAAAAGGTCTTACATGTGACTTCAGGATTCCTGCATATACCCTGGAGTTGGAATTTTAGACTCTATAAGAAACTGTCTTTTTTATAATATCCAGATCTCTTTTCAATATGATTCCTCTCCAACGAGCAGTAGAAAAATGCTATATCCTATTGCACACACATATGGTAGTCAATTAAGTAATTAAAAGTAATATCACATTTACATGTCACTTGTTAGACGCTTTTATCCAAATCGACTTACATACTCAACACTGTGGGCAATCCCCACAGGAGCACTTTGGGGTGAAGTGTCTCAGGGACACAACGACATGCTGACTGCAGTGGGGTTTGAACCTGTGACCCCCTGATCCCAACACCAACGCACAACCCACTGCACCACACGCCTCATTAATATACATAATGAACTATAATATAACTTTCATCAGTTAATCATTAGTATGTAATCATGCTGTGCACAGCTTCACATGGGTGTAATATAATTATACAATGCATAATACATAGTATACAGCCATAGTAAAGTCACTTTAGCTTGTTAGCATGCTAATATTTAGCACTGAACACATTGTTTTTTTTGTCAAGTACTGCAAACATTTAAGTTTGATATGAGAATGACGTTGGTTGAAAGGTAAAGGGATGGTCAAAGCTAACATTTATCCTGTTGGGAACATTAAAATATTTACCAGATGTCACCAATCCAATGAGGCGCAATAGAAAGATTCAGCGGCTCATCGAAGTGATCGTGATTCATCCTCTGGGGACCATGCATATCTGCAGAAAATCCATCTAGTAGACATTGGTTTCAATATTGTGGAGAAAATAAATGAGATTACTTTCCCTAAGCCTTTACAGCAGTGGAGGAAATGCAGACTATGACTAAGGTTTTTAATATCCAGGCATTCATTTCAATATAATTCCTCTCCTCAAGGGAGCGGGAGGAAAAGCTATATTCTGCAGATTTCACGGATATAAGAAAAATATGACATAAGGTAGAGTTAACATGCTTAGTACCAAATCTCCTGCATACTGTATTTTCTCCACAGATTACACCCATGATACTATAAGTCTGTGTGAGAACATGGATGAATATAGATAGAGCCGTCTTGTCTCTCTGTCTGTGCATCAGAGCATCAATTTACTGCAGATTGAAACACACGACTGGAGTAAGTGATCAAATGACCGCCTGCTCCTCCATCATGTGCTGCTCTGAAGTCTTTCTGTGATACAAACCAAAGGCAGAGTGTGGCCGTCGTGCGTAAGCAGGTTATGTAAGTCTCATTATTCAGTGCATGGCAAAAGATGCACTCGTATCGATCCAGCTCCGGTCATGTGACTCTCTATGGATGTGGAGCGGAGAGAGGAAAGGGATTAGAGAGAGAGAGAGAGAGAGAGGAGAGAGAGAGAGAGAGAGAGAGGAGAGAGAGAGGAGAGAGAGAGGAGAGAGAGAGAGAGAGAGAGAGAGATGGTGATTGGATAAGAAGGGGGAAGCAGCGATTTGCTGAGCAAGACATTTGTGAGGAGTCTGCAGCGGGCAGACATGAGAAGAGTTTTATAAAACACTCTCCATGGTGAATTACTGGGCAGAATATCCCATCATGCTCAGCCAATCAATAGAGAGTGATGAGGTGGAGTGAGTTCTGCCCTCCCATTCACTGTTATCTATGTAAAATGGACTTATACACACACACACACACACACACACACACACACACACACACACACACACACACACACACACACACATACACACACACACGCACACACTCAGTGTCCAGTGTGTGTGAGGCCTGTATACTGAGATAAGTGACTGTGCCATTACCGGGTCATGATGCCTTTCCCACAAAGCCTTTTTGTTGCAGCTGAGCGTGGAGGTGTGTAATCGGCTATCGCAGAACAGCAGGGGTCCTAAAGAGACGTGTGTGTTAAAGTGACCGTACAGAACTAAAAGTCGCATATTGGTGACTTTTTGCACCAAAATTAGCACGTCAAAGATGGTTGGAAAATGCATGAAAATGCTCAAAATGACAGACTTTCAGATTATCTGTAGACTTTTTGTTTTCAAGATTCAAGGCTTTAGTGTCATGTGCACAGAAAGTCACAGGCTCCTCCAACAGAGCAACATGAATATATAAAGGAAACAAAACAGATAAAATAGTGCAAAATTGTTTGGTGTTTCACAATTAAACTTAGCAAACGCCTCGGAAATAGCTGGTTTAAAAGGCTGCTTATCTCTCAAATCAAATCGAATGATTGTTTCAACAGTGGAAACGAAACAAAGACGATTTTTATTCTGGTTTCTTTGTTGAATTCATGTGTTTTTTACAATGATCTTCAACATAAAATGACTTTTTTTGTCGATGGAGTCTGGTGGCTTTAAGGAGAGCATATCTATTTTATGTTTATTATAATAACTGTCCAAATCCCTGTGGATTTTATTCATTTGAAATATGGAAATTGGCAAGAATTAGCATGTTGAAAGACTATAAATAACGTCACAACTGCAAAACTCGATTGTCTGGGAATTAATGCTTGTTGTTGTCTTTCTCGCTAAAGACAAAAGCCAGATATAAGTTGTTTTTAATCCTGTTTGAAAAGGGCTTTAGTGTAAATGTACATATCTCTCTTCTCGGATTAAATTGATTAAGCTGCACACTGCCGCTGCAATGCTAAGAAGGATAGAAATGCTCAAACAAACACACTGCTGGTGCACGGTGCATGAGTGTGTGTGTGTGTGTGTGTGTGTGTGTGTGTGTGTGTGTGTGTGTGTGTGTGTGTGTGTGTGTGTGTGTGTGTGTGTGTGTNGAGATGATGTTGTTTTTAAAGTGTGCTATATAAATGAAATATATTATTATTATTATTATTATTATTATTATATACATACATTATAACAAAGCATTCTTACTCACGTAAGAATGCTTTGTTATAATGTATGTATATAATAATAATAATAATAATAATAATAATATATTTCATTTATATAGCACACTTTAAAAACAACATCATCTCAAGGTGCTTCACAATGCTATATGGAGAAAAATAAATAAAAATGTATCTAAGGAGCATATTGAATAAAATATGGGAATATAAAAAAGGTTGAGAGCATAAAAGGTTAGAATAAAAAATAAATAAAATAAAGGACAGTCAGTAAAATGAGCGGAACAGGTGGGTCTTGAGGCTTTTCTTGAACACTGAGAGTGATGCAGAGCTCCGTATGGGAGGCGTGTGGCGCAGTGAACTAGTGCGTTGGTGTTCGGATCTGGGGGGCACAGGTTCAAACCCCACTGCAGTCAATATGTCGTTGTGTCCCTGGGAAAGACACTTCACCCCAAATTGCTCCTGTGGGGATTGCCCACAGTATTGAGTATGTAAGTCGCTTTGGATAAAAGCGTCTAACAAGTGACATGTAATGTATAGTATGTTCTCTGGAAGCTGATCATATGTTTTCCTTTTTGTATGATATATATATAGATACTGCTGCCTGCTGTCATAGAGAGTTATTTCCTCTCTCGATGAGCAGATGTTAACTTTTGGTTGTAATCTTAGCAATGTGTTTGAGTGCGGCTGTTCGGGCAAGGCGTAGTCAACGTGAGGCGACACAAGAATCAGCTAGTTCTTTTATGTGAGTTTGGTGTGTCAGAACCTTAAATAAAATTACATTCAAGAGCTCAGGAAATGTATGTTTTGTACAGTTTGAACGGGTGAATAACTGGAAAGTCACTTGAGCACATTGCACTCATTCTGGAGGCTGGAACACTTCTAATGAGAAAGAAGGAAATACTTACAGCGGACCTCCAGATATGCAGGCTGATCATCCTCTCCAATGGCACTGCGCGCCGAGCAGAGGTACTGACCCGCATCTGTATACTTGACATACTTCAGAGTGAGGGAGGACACACGAGCATCACTCCTCACCACTACATTCCCATCCACACTCTAAATGGGAGCAGAAAATAGCTTGGTTTAGGGGAAAAAACGTGCCATTCGCACCAGTTATTTTCCATTTTGCATATCTACAAAGCACATTTCTGCAAAAAGATGTGACCTGAAAAAAAAAAAAGCTTAAAGAAAGCCTGCCTTTAATGAGCAGAAGAGACATTACGTTAATGAAAAAGGCACAGTCTGCTCGGTAAAGACGTGGAAACATAAGGACACAGTTGACAGAACAGGGGAGCTTATCAATAATAGATGAAAGAAGGCACTAGAAACCATCCCAAGCTTTTCACACAGAGGGCTTACCAACTTGTTTAATATGCTGATGCATGGCGCTAGATAGCACAGCATTCCTTTACATACCACACAAGCACTTTGATGTGAAAGACATGCTGGGCTTGGTGAAACTGCACACAATCACATTTCTTTGAGAAGAACATTTTCAGACAATGAGCTGTGGTGTTTTTTGCATTGCTTTTTAAACCAAGCATATTCCCCATTGTTAGTAAACTGCACAAGTCACAAACCAGGGGCATAGTTACCGATCAGCTGGCTAACGAGACGTGTACATGTCCTTCCTCCTCTACAGATACCTGGTTTCATTAACTTGATATGCAGGCAGGGTTACAACATCCGACCATAAGTGACTTCTGACCTTTAGGGTCAACTACTGTTGTTATGGTTGCTGTTGTCATGTGACCCTAAACTGTGGGTGGGCGCTTTCAGAGGGACAATATGTCCTCTTTTGAAGAAGGACCAACAGGATTTTATTCATAACATTACTTACTGAAATGAATTATGTCTCTTTCAAAACCTTAATTATCTTCAAATTAACAGTTCATTAATGTTTGAATTGAGCAGAGCAAATGTTCAAACTCACAAAGACTCGACTTTATTTCATGGATTTGGGAGATGCAACTGTTTTTATACAGGACTCTTTTATACAGTAAGCTCTGATGTGTCTGTAAATTGTTCATTTTAAAGGGTGCTACAGAACTACATTTTTAAGCCTCTCTGTTGGCCGCTTTCATGGCTTTAATCCAAGCTGCAGGCTAAACAATGGCACGGGTGCTTTTACACATATTGAATTAGGGCCCAGTCTGGGGAGGCATGTAAGAGAAACCTTCGTTAGTTTGTATTCAAATTCAATAGACAAAGCATGTCTGAGGCATTCATTATGCAGAGCGGGTAGCAGTACCAGGGAGAGACTTACATAACACACTAGCCTTTTATTCTAACCCCTGTGCAGGAAGCATTCTCCGGTGACCCTAAGGCACCGCCTCTGACTCCTGCATCTGTGCAACATGCCACTCCATGTATCCTCACAACGTCCTAGTTACTATATGCTCCAATACTGAGTCCTTTTTAATTGTGTTCTCCAACTTTTGGAAAAAGCAGCATCAACACGTCATCCCAGCCAAAACAACATATGGTTACTTTCCCTCCAGCCTTCATTCCGCATATGAAGCCCATGACAAATATAATCATGGGGAGGAAAATAGTGTCTTTACTGCAATTTAATGTTGCGATTCATTCATGTTTTGAGTGGTTGTCTATAGGCAACATCCTTATTAAACAACCATTGAATATACTTGTGTGCCTCTAAGAAAGAGGTACAATACAACTTTACATGTCTTTGCTAGAACCTGCAATAAAACAGATGGAGGAAGGAAAATAAAGACTCTCAGACAAAAGCGGCTCCAATAAATCAGAGCAAACTGACAGCAGAGCGCTCTCTAACAGCTTCTGCAGCTCCACTGGCAGAGGAAAGAAACACTGCTGGAACATCCGAGCAGAACATTGAGGATACACTGAGGACATGTTAAACTCATGTCTCACCAAAGCTGAACGGGTCCTGCATACAAAAACACCTGCACCTGAATGTACTCTCCTTTCCATGCCCTGTCCAATGACCACTCCGCTGGCTACGCACTTACAAACATGCTCAGCAGGCTCATACTCCCCCTGCTCACAATCCTCCCCTGTGGCTAATAATGAGGAATCTGGCAGAGACACACACTGATCAATTCAGAGTGCAGGTGGAATTAAATTCGCATCATTTTGTCAGAAAATGGAAATGATTATTGCCTGATCCATTAAAGTAAACCAATGCACTCATGAAACCACGGTGCTACCAATATGCTGCAGAGATATAATTTGTGAGAAAACAGTTCACATTTTATGGTTCATAAAATAAATTAGCACGCCATGATTATGTTTTTAAGCTGTGTTCGTTCTTGCTTTAGGGTTAAGTGTCACTTCCTTTGCATTATCTTTCTCCTATGTGGAAAACTCGGAAGCTGATTTTTCTACAGCTCAGTAATTATATGCATATTTGAAATAATTTCACTGGCCTTTCTTTCTAGGTTAAAGTGTTACTACCATGACAGCACATTACTACTGATGCATACAAAGGTTGGTGCAACCATGTGTAAATCCCAGTTTTACACAAACATAGACATTACTGTCAGCTTGTGCTTGATGGAAACGGTTCTCCCTAACCTCCCACAGTGAGCAGGGATTCACAATATGGATTTCTTTCATCCGTTTAGAAAACCAATAATTACCGGTACCTGCTTCTTATGGCCAGTATCAATTTTCAAGTCTTTTGCACATGTGAATATAAGAGAGTTTAAGATGTAACAAGCTGAAATGGAGAATGTAATATTCTATAGATCTGCAAATAGACAGTACAATTATTAACAAACACAACGACCAGGTCTGACTCTTCTTAATGTTGTTTTCTAGTACATACAAAGAGATATTGGATATGGTAATTGTGTTGTCTTTCTCTGAAACTAGGAAAAACGTTGTAAGTGACTGTGACGGCACTCTAGTCAGTGTGCTTTAATTCTTCTTCTCTGCGTTAATTGGTGAAGATTAAAATATATATAGCGCCACCTACTGTATCGGAGTATATAGATGCTGCACTTTTTAAGCAAATGAGAGCGAGTTGGCTTTTTGTTATCGACCGATAATTATACAGTATACAAAGTGTGATAGCGTTTTTCTTTTGGACCTTGTAATCATATGTGTTCTTATTGAGGAGATGTCAATATTGACTTTGACATTGATTATGGTGATTGCTGGAAACAATTACCCTCTTTCAAAACTACAGAGAATTTAAAGGAAAAGACGGGTTCACTTGATGTGCAGAGCTCCCTGCAATTTGAAAATAGCTTTTCTATTTAAAGAACCAAATGGTCCAAAAATATGTATTCATTTCTTGTCAAATGGTACGAAATTAGAAATAACAATGGCAAGCCTAACATTTGATCTTGCACCTGAAACGGTGATGAGCTGAAACACTTCGTGAGAGCACACATTTGCCTTCAAGAGGGATCTGTATTGTCCTCAAGTGCGGTACACTAAAATTAGAAAAGACAAAGTGGTGTTTTGCACCAATTTTCTCACATGTAGAAGCATATATTTAATCGTAAAGTAGACAAGTACACTGCGCTTTCTCTTGCCAATGTTCACTTTCTTTCAGGAACAGTCCCTGGCTCTGATACATGGGCTGAAAAGACATCTTTCATTTTCAATTGTATTCATTCATCTTTGGTCGTATAAATTACAGCTGTGAAGATATAATTAAGAATTTGCATCAGATCAAGTGAGATCTGGAGACGTGTGTGGGAGGAAAGACAGATTTGAGAAGAGTTTCAAATCAACCAAATCCGTCTAAAACAAAGCAGAAAATAGGTTGAAAAACTGCATGTAAGAATCACCTCTATAAGATATCAAGAAGATGAATCATAAGTCATATTTAAGCACGCGAACGTTTGCATGGAAACACGCTGAAGAATGGAAACCCAAATAAGTCAAATGAAAAGATAGTGACAGACAGGCCTGTTAGGCATCTGCATCTTTCTCAGGGTTCATACTCTCCGTGACCCTGATTTGATCAAGAATGTTGATCTGCATCCATCCAGAATTCAATTAGATTCCTCTGACATGAAAGATGGATGGGTGTAGGAAAAAGTCATGCATTTAGAATACCTTGTGCTGCTCGGGCCGAGTCCATGATGCCTGCAGAAAACAGAGACACAACCACAAACAAAAGGCAGAGCAATTCTTAGAAGGTGACTCTTATCCAGGAAAAGCTGGGATGCTGCACATTGCATGCAAGTAATGAGTGTCCAGTTTATTTGTCGGTACATTAACTGTCCCTGAGCTGAAAGTCTGAAGATACAATAAAAGCTATTAGCTACTGAAGCAGCCTGTTATGTCACAACAGGAGTTTATTCTTTAAAAAGGGGGATTTCTACAGTGTTTTATATTTCTGTACTGCACGGTGAAACGAGACATTTTCCAACCCCCAGAGGAGTACGTGTATTGGCATCACGATAACGGAAATGCTCACAGATAAGAAGGTTATTGGTTTATCAGGAAAAGGTGAATCCATTACGCTGCACAACAGAGATATGTCAGCCCTTTTGTTCGAGGTAGTACAGCAATTATCAGCTCACAATCCATTTTAGAGGCTCGAAGAAATAATGAGGATATCAAATCCAATAAAACATATTTTTCCCTATCACTGTTGTGTATTTGTGCATAAAAAGCCTTTCCTACGCTGAGGAACAAGAGATAGTAGTCATCAAGGGCTTGCTGTGTTTCTCATGAGCAATGAGTGGAGTAAAAGAAGCAATTTAGTTTCAGCTCTTTCTGCACCCCGTGTGACACCTGGAAATAAATCTCTGCCGACAGGTGGCCAGCCTCAAATGTCCCGCTATGAATGTTAACAGTTGTACTACTGTCTGAAATAAAGTGCTTTTTTGTGTGCCTTGATTGTATTTCAAGGCTAAAATAGACAACAACGTGATTCGAATAACTCAAGTTTCATTGTTTCAAAAACGATCTGATAGCACGTCTCCCTGTCAGTGGATATTTATTGAGGTTAACACTTTCTGTTCTGTATTATAAGAAAGGATGTTATTATATAATAGAATTATGAAATGCCTCTCCATTACATCATGTAGTCACAAAAGTATCACAAGGCTATTTAACTCAATGTGTGACTTGGATCAATTAACATTGTATCAAGTAATTTAGAGTTCCTTAAAGGGGACTTCAAATAACAAGGACGCCCTTAATAAAATAAGTGATTGTCATAATTGTGTTGGTCATATCTCACACTCTACTGAATACAGAATGAATTCACATCATTACACATCAAATCAAACCTCTGGGTAACAAACAAATACAATAACTGTTATAGTCAACATGCCACGTCAAGTTAAATCACAACGACACCGAAAAGCTGAACCCCACAATGCGAAAAGCTTTTCGGGAAGCATGCTCTATGGATTTCTACAGACGCTAAAGAGAAAATGTTAAGCATGACAATGGGATGTGATGGCTCGCATAGCGGAAGAAGTGTTGAAGCGTATCAGGCAAAATGATAAACAGCTATTTCATCAGGTGCAACTGGAAGAAAATGTCAAGTAAACCAAAACAATCAGCAGGAATAATTGAAGGGGGCAAAACAGTGAATCAAACCATCAATTTTAAATATCACCCTATCATAATCCACCTGGCGGCTTTTCAATAACACAAAGAACATATGGTGTGCTAGAATTCCCTGACTATCCTGCTTCACCTTCTACTGTGAAAAGAAGCAGGTGAAAAGAGTAGACGATGAAATACTTATTGGACAAATCATATGCAGAGCCCACGGTGCGAGTCTAATTTCTGCGTGCTCCTAAGAGCATTGTTAAGTCCTCTACTGTCACAGTAAAACACACTGCACTGCACATCATGACAAACAGCAGTTGGCTGCATATCACCACAGCGCCGAGAAAGAGCGGTGGTCCAATTAAAACAGGCAGCTTAATAGGCTGGAACATTGCCACCTTATCCACACACACACACACACACACAACGCTCAAGCAGTAAGTGAGCGGACAAGTACTGCCGTCATATCTGTGACAGGTGTTTGCTTAAGACAAAAGGACAAATGAACAGCAGCAAATGCAAGCTGGCAAAGCGGAAGACACCAAAACAAAGTCACTCCTGCAAGCTTAACACTCAGAACAATATAATGACGGCTCCCACAGGACTTATCATTTCACCAGCACATTGTTATTCCCTTCCATAGAAAATCATCCCTGCCTTTTGTTCTGACATGGATTGTAAATTCAGCGTGAAGAGGGCAAGAAGGAGACATACTAACAGAATGCACTGTATGTACAGAGAGCTGCTGGGTGATGCCTGACTGAAAGGGATGACTATGCATATTGTCATGGCCCTGTGTCATTTACTGCAGAGCTCACAGCCTTTGCCAGCACATCACAGAAAACTGCGTTTTAGTGAAGAAAGCCTTACATCACCGCACTACTGGGCGACTGTGGGCTGCTGTAAATGAGTGGTCTTTTGTGTGTGGAGAAAACAATGCTCTGTCTGCACTGGCACGCTATGTTTAAAGCATTCCTGTTTCAGACGCCTTGCCACACCACATTAATTACACATTTTCTTTAAGCATCTCATTACTTGTTAAATAATCATGAGCTTCCTTTCTAACTGGCCTTCTGGATGTTACACAGAGCAGGCCTTAAAAGCAGATGTGTGTCCTGAGACTTGTATTTTTGAACAAAACAACGCTAACAGTCATAAAGTGCCATCACCAAATCCTCACTGTAATGTGCTTTCAAGTTCAAGTCAACAACTTCTTTAACTCCTTAAAACTTGAAATGTCCTCTGATAATTACAGCTTTGAAACTCAAGCAGGATGTTCAATATTTATTCTAATAAGGCAAACATTCATTATGTAGATAATGTACAAAGCGTGGATAAATACCTCATTTACATTTTCAGTTATTAAGCAAACACACTTATCGACAATGACTTCCAGCAAATGCATTCAAAGACTGAAACAACCTCACGTAGAGTTGGTTAAAGTTTAAAAGCTTTATTAATAGCGGAATAAACAAAAACAAAACTGTTCTCAGATAAGTGTCAATTTGCAACCGTAAGTGATCAACACTTTTTGAATTTGCTCCTTTCCTCCTGTCTGTCATAATGAACAGTACCATTGCTTTTCTGTATTGTATGATACACCCTAAATCTTCTTAAGTTATAGAACAAAGCTTTTGTGTCAAAACTGAACATTTGGTGACGAAGCTTATTCAGAATGAATCCGTCTCTCTGCACGTTAACCTTTAAGACATGAGACCAATAAAAGGAAACCAAATCAAACATACCCAGACAAGATTTCAAACCGACAGTGCATGTCTTATCACAGAATATAAGATGTAACATTGGTTTCTTACATGTATTCTCTAATCCTGATCTTTTTTGCTCGAACATTATACAGTCATTTCATATCCTGTGCGTCAGGGAAAGAGACCATCTGCCGCGCTACGAGTATAGTTCCAACATGAACAATGAGGATAACATAATTAAAACCTTCACCTTTATCTTTATTCTTCTTATGTTCATATGTAGGAGAAACTTCCTTTTCAGACTTTATTCTAGCTTTCTGATGTTTCATTTCTGAAGATTTTTTTCTAAATTGGTATCGTTCTTATTATATTCAGACTGAGTATTGAACCATGAAATTAGTTTAGTTGCCTCAAAAATGTGATATGTTAATAACTGAGCCACAGTATAAGGCATATCTTCACTTAAGTGATGAAACTGCTACCTGTCTTAATGTACAGCAACAATTATGAAGTGGACTATTTATTGAAATGACCAAAAAAGTTAAGAATTGTATAGGAATAAAATGTATTTTTGCATAAAAACAAACTCCATGTCCTAGATGCACTGCATTATTGAAGACATGACCAGCTAGGGAGCCGAAGAACGGAAAACACATTCAAATTAACTGCTAATTAATTCTGTATATTTGTCACCAGCACACATCTCTCATGGCACAGTACAGATCTCGACTGGTTTTTCTGACAAACACAAAGATCTCACATCAATAAATGAGTGATAAAAAACCCTTCACTGCAACACTTAAAGGTTGGTAAAAAAACAAAACAGCTGCCTTTTTTTTTTAAGTCAACATGTCCACCCCAAACGAATGTTGTTTCATTGTCACTCCATCCTCGATGAAATACAGCTGTTATGATGATGACAGATAGCATGACAGACGGACATCGGATGAACAAACAGAACAAGACAGTTGAACAATTAGCAGCCGTCCCAGCATGCATCTATTAGAGCCCCGTTAGGGAAGTCATTTTCCTGGCTGATGATCAGAACTAGAAGGAAAACAAATCTTTGCTCTACTGTCAGTCAGTAAGGCTGCTAATAATTTCTTTGACGACGGCTGTAGAAAGATGCCACGGGTCACTAAACATACTGCAGTCTAAAGCGCAAAACATACAGCCACCGTGGCATGTTACATGACATGTGTCACGTGACATGCCATGGTGCTGCACGTCAACAGGGCTACAAGGGGCAGAAATTGAGGGCAGGATGATATGTTTTGTAGTTGCCTGTTTCTTTGTTTTTAACAGACAGCATCTGTGTGTTATTTACTTATTTTAGTCCATCTTCACACCTACAGTACAGCAAAGCCTGCCAGGCGAAGTGTTTTCAAGACATATAAAGTTAGGATGCAGAGCCCTGAGGAGGCTCTCCTCTTAGATTATGACAACCACCAAAGAAGTCGCTAGCAAAAGAGGAAGTGCATCAAAAAAGACATCTACACTGGATAATAGCACGAGGTGTAACTGGGCTCTGCGTTTAGTGTAGCCTCACCACTGTGTGTGTGGGTTTACACAGAAGAAAATAGGCCTGTCGTGACGTGCGTCATATGGTGGTAGCGTGTTTTGCACTCAAAGTGATGCTTCACTCAAAACCTATTTTTGAATATCAAACACTCAGCCCTGTAGGCTCGTAGATGGCACAGTGGCTGCAGCCTGCTTGAAATCCTGTCAATTGCGATGGATTCCAATAGCAACCAGTTTTCACTTGGATAAATGCCCAATAAAGCTCTTATCGAAGCATAATCCACTTCTGCACTGGCCAACTTTATCATCAGTACTCTAAAAACACTTGTGTGTTGGTCTGCAGGGTGTGTTTGATGCTCAAAGGATTTTAGGTGGAGCACTTTAACCCTTTCAAGGTATACTGAGATGAATGTTAGACAATCTACAGTACTATGGAGATGACAGACAGACTGAGCTCGGCTTTAATCCTCATGCTGTGATGTAAAGTTTGAAATGATCAGGCAACAGCGACACAGAAATGGCGTATGGCGTTTATACAGTTGTTAACTACATTGTCATGTGATCTCATGAGATAAGCTCCACACACTTGCTATCACGAGATCAGTGTGACATCTTTCAGGATATATTTGGGAGGCATGCAGCAGTCGAATCAATTCCATGAACTCTGATGAGATCATTCCTTGGGGCTTTCAAGAAACAGCTGGGTAATTTTAAATAAAAAAAGAGGATGATTTGATTAGACTAAGGGTTTTTGTCAGATGTGGAGGCATACTTTGCAACACTACTCCAGTACATTTCTGTGCCACGCGGATTTCCTACCTGATAGATCCTGTTTAGATGTGCCTGTAGGAAGAAAATGTACTGCATGTAATGGACTGGATCCAGAATTCCTCCATGAACTACAGTTTACCTCTGAAGCTGAGAGGTAATGAGGGGGGAATGCTACGACCTCGAAAGAGGAGGTCATGAGGGAGATATATGAACAGAATAATCAGGTATTCATTGCTTCTGATGGTTTGCACATGGGATGATGTAGAAGGCATTACCAAAAGGGAATTGTATCAAGGACGTAATGGTTACTAAAGAAGTTGGCTCAAAACAAATGTAAAAGATGACCGCAGAATATCCATAGATAAACAGACTAAACACTTTTCAATCCCCAGCATGAGCCGAATAATGAGAATGGGGATTGAAAATGCTAAACCAACACTTCATCATCCAAGTGCTAGCAAATACTTTACAATTAGAAGCGCACATAGTTTAATTTTTTATCTCAAATTGCATGCTTTTTTTGGGGAATGTTATAATTGGGTTTCTGATGCAGATTCTCTTGACATTTGGGAAAACTCATTGGGTTACTCCACATTACTGTAGCTAATGACATGAGATCCTCTGGGCCATCTAGAAGGAGCTGCTAATTTAAGAGGACTAATCAGCATTTCGTAATCTTGTTGAGGAAACTGCTGAAGTCCCCCACCTGCGCACAATCAATACCTCTTGAATTTAAGTTAAAGGTATTCAATTTGTCTCCTTGGGATACCGATGTCCTGCAGGCTCGTGTTCCTCCCTGGTGATTAGCAGTCAATGTTTCCCAATTATACATCACAGGCCAATGCATTATAAAAGGTACTATAGTTAAGTCAGTACAGAACATGTGTTTCCTTTTGTAGCATATATTCAAACTTAACAATATGAAAGTAAAATAAATGTTGTAAATGTATGTGAAAGTTCATTATCTTCTAAACTCAATACACCTCTTTCTTCTGGCATTTATTTGATTTTTTAGCATTTAACAAGTGGTATAGTATCTTATTTCCCTAGTGTGTACATGTTACTATTGAAAAATCATAATTTCAGATATTCTTTAAAGTATGCAACTGAGAAACAGATAATATCAACGTATTTAGCACCAAGTGTTGTTCATTAACTCCAGGAGGAAAAGATTTTGCAGGACATCGGCCCTAAAGGAGCAGAACTGATTACTTAAGATTAAGATATTGAGATATGGACATCAATACATCTTTTATGACATTACCTGCTCTCCTTCAGTGAAGACGCGCTCACCGAAACCCCAGCTGATGGTGGGAGTGGGGTCTCCCAACGCCTCGCAGGTCAGAGTTACCTGCTCCTCCATCTCAGAAGTGCTCTGGTTCACGATGTACGTGATCTTAGGCTTTACTGTAAACACAGACAAAAAGTAGTCACAATGACACTATCATACAAAGACAAGCCAGGTGGTTTGGCAGCAAGTACAAGGATGCGTGATGAATTGAAAGGAAGGAGGAGGATCAGAAGCTGAAAGGGGGATTTGAATGGCAGCAAAATTGTATTTTCTTTTCAAGTCTCAACAGTGGCAAAGCTGCGATTACAGTGTTTGGATCCAAATTTTAATTCATGTAAAAATGTCTTGAGCCTATCTCAAAGGAGCCGGTCTTCATTTTGTGTTTCCTTTTGAGAGAACTGTCGCGTTATAGCACACCTGAGCTACTGTAACCTGAAAGCACAGCATGTTGCCAACAATGTGGCGTGTGCAGAGCGAAGCAAATTCAAGTGCTCCTCCTGAAGCGAGAGGGTGAGCATCACTCTGTGCTTTCACTTCTATCCACCTCAGAAAGGTAAACTGCATGGATTGAGCAATGCACTTTAAAATGTTAGCCCATTCAATAGAGTAAATGCTGTATAACTTACAACATTCACCATAATTGTAACTTTCCTTTGAATGCCTTCGTCTCAAGTGATATTTATAAAAGAAAAGAAAAAGCTATGCTATATAAACACACTTTTCTCCAAAACTAAGATGAGTTCCGAGCTCTTTGGGGCCCAGACGTTATCAGAATTTAAAATGTTTTATGTAAAGCAAATGGTGTTGGGAGGTTGTTTGCATGAGTTGCCTGCTCTCTCAATCAATGTGATCAAAACACACCCACCCAGACCAGATGGGTTTTGAGTGTTAAAACTCTTGATAAATAACACTTAGAGAGTAATTAAATATTCAGTGTAATTTATCTTTAGATGGCATAATACAGGACTGTCTGTGATGGACCTTCAGCAGCACAAAGCCAAAAGAGAAAGCCAAAACCTGACCGGGGGACACGGGGGAGTCCAAGGGGAGAGAAAGGAGGCAAAGATACTGCATGAGGCACATTTGAGTTAAAATGCTTCCACCTATCTCCATTATCCCACAGAAGTCACATTTAACACATAGCTGGGTAAAAAGAATATTAAGTATCGAAAGAAGTTACTCTAAATGCACCAAAAACCCTAAAACACAAGGCGGTCACTCCAAAGAGGATTTGAATAACATGAGGAAATAATAGTACTAGAAATAGTTTATTGTGGCTGTAAATATAAATCAGGTTGGGGTGAAAATGACCCACGGACACACTCCGGACAAGATTATAGTCAGTGACCAGTAACTTTTAAATGAGTTTGAGTTAGGCTGAGGAATGCTCTAACATTACCCTTTATTGTTGCTTATTTATGAAGAAATTAGGAATATGTCGTATTTCAGACCACATTTAAGCCCGCGTCACACTGTCCCGAAATTGACACCCGATGGACACACGAATATGGAATTGTGAATTTCGCACGAAGATGGCCCAGAACCACACACGAAGGCAACATTTACATTACATTTAAGACCTACAACTGCCACGAAAGTAACAAAAACAATTATGTTAAAGCACTATGATACTGTACTGATATTTTCGTTTTCTCCGTAATGTTGTTTCCATAGCAACAACAACTTCCTGTCAACTCACATTCAAAATAATATATTATATCCTTTTCAGTTTCACAGAACACAAATTGGGTTATTTACATAATATGTTTACATTATTTTGTTGTGCAATAAAACAACCAGATCGACATACGATAAAGGAAAAGTTCAAATTCAGCTCTGATCGTAACAACATCGGGACATTCGTGAGGGCATCTTAAGCCATCGTATGACCGCCGGTGGAGTTTCTCAGGCTCCGGCAGCAACTTCGTGAGCGGTGGCAAAATCTTTGGCATGCCAAAAAATTGCCGAAGGACTTTGTGAAGGTTCATTTTCATCACGTTGAGGCGCATCCCATAGTGAGACATCGAACGGAGTGTTATGAATGAGAACTCCACCGGTGGTCATACGATGGCTTAAGATGCCCTCACGAATGGCCCGATGTTGCTACGATCAGAGCCGAATTTGAACATTTCCTTTATCGTGTGTCCATCGGGTTTCAATTTCGGGACAGTGTGACGCAGGCTTTAAGGGGCTTTAAAGGCCAATTGTGCACCATGCATCTGTGTTTTATATGAAGATATATCTGATCACACTTGGTGTTGACAGGTACTAAAAATGTCAGAACTCCAATCAGCATACAGTAGGGGAGAAACACAAATGAACACAGCTTTCATATTCAGATGTGGCAGGGTACTAGGAAAAGCAAGATTACATCTTTTCCTACTTTGATGTAAGTAGACCAGAGCTTTGTGAGTGCTAGAAAATCTTCGAGTTAATGAGCTAAATAGCGCTAAAGAGGTAAACACTGTGCTTTGAAGGCTGTCTTGAGTAATTTGATGGTTATCGTTTAGCTCTAAAAAAAACACCTCCGTTGTGTGGGAACCAGATAACTCAAAGTACATTTAATTGGCTAAATGCACTGATATTGTGGTGTTGTTATTTAAACTATGGTTGTTACCTGACGAAATAAAAACAACAATAACAACCTAGTGGGCAAAAGGGAAGAAGAAAGAAAAATACTTCATAGATTTCAGATGATCTTATCCCACTTGGCCAGTTCTCAGGATCCTAAGCATCCTCTATACATGAAACAACCACAACCCACACTGAAACAACACCTCATGTTGTATCCCTTTGAAAAGAGACACATAACCATACTATTGTTCTTCCCCCACCTACGTACTCTTGTACTTATTCCCACACACTTGGAACATTTGATATTGTCACTTTAGTTCATGTATGGGTGTCTATGTAGCGTCTTACCAAACACTCTCAGACTGAGTTCCTGGTCGCTCTCCCCAGCCTTATTCTTGGCGATGCAGGTGTACTCTCCTTCATCCAGCTTAGTTATTTCCATTAATGTCATTTCTGAGCCGTCCTCATTAAAGCTGTACTTCTCTCCAGCCTCCAGGACCACATTGTTCCTGTGAAAAACATAAGGGCTTATCTATCCACACAACAACACACATCATTTCTAAACGTGCACCATTTAAAATGTTCCTAATCATGACCCTTACATCTTTTGAACACAAATGTGTAGTTTTTATACATATACTGTATATAGAATTGATGCCGTCAAATGACATTAAAGATGAAGTGGGTAAGTAGAAGTGCAGTGAAGAAAAAAAGAACCGCTGAAATCAATGTTTTTCTTTTGACATTTGGTGTTAAGAGAACATTCAAACAGAAAAGTGTGTTTTTTCATGTTGTCACAGTGTAGTCAGTGTGAACTGTTTGTCCCTGTTGGCTACAATGTAAAGGAGATAATGTTCCCTGGCCTCAAACTGTCTGCGATCTCTCGTTCTGGCTTTAAAAACAGCTCTTTTAACAAGTAGCAGGTGCTCTAGCTGCACAAGTATAAAAAATGATTTCCAGGGTGACTAAATACTTAAAAAAGCAGACAGTAGCTCTTTGGCTGTTTGCACTTTTTGCCTCCCCCAGTCTTAGTCGTCTGTACACGCCTAACAGCTGTCTATGAGACGAGAGAAACAGGAACAGTTTAACAAAGCAGGAAGCTATCAATGGCTGCATTCAGACACACAGAATAGTGGCTATTGATGACATTCCAGTCTTCAGGTTTCACTGTTTACGTGCACCTTTTATACTCTTTGATTAAGTATCCCATTGCAATGAATAAACCAGTTAGTACCATATCCCTAATATCCTAGAGTTTCCACAGCAGAGGGTGTGTTACTGTGTGGACATTTAGCTGACAGTGTGCAGCCTAAAGTATATAAGATAAGATCATAAGATAAGAGGTACTTTATTGATCCCAAATTGAGACCTTTTTGCGTTGCAGCAGCATAAAAAACACAAAACCAAAACAAGGCTTTGCACAAAAGTAGAAATTAAAGAGTAGAAATAAAAGATACTAGAATTGAAACATTTCAAAATAGAATTAAAATAGCATTAAAAAGTAGAAAATCTACAGTAGACTGTGAAGATAAAACATCTATAAACTCTGACAATTAAACACTATTGAGGACTTTAGACACAATATAATGCAGGATATTATTTACATCAAGATTGTAGGGAATGGAATATTAAATTAAATATAAATGTAAAATGTACAGTGTGTAATATATATTTCCGGTTCTGTAATATCATTTTCTTCACATCCTTTTATAATATATAATAAAGTTCCCAATGTTTCATACATTGTCAACCCCTCCGCTCACATCCGTAACCTTGGCATCATCCTCGACCCCACCCTCACTTTCCTCCCTCACGTCAACCAGGTCACAAAAAACGCTTTCTTCCATTTAAAGAACATCGCCCACAACAGACCCTCCCTCTCATCGACCGCTGCTGAAACTCTGATCCATGCCTTTATAACATCCCGACTGGATTACTGCAACAGCATACTTTTTGGATCACCGGCATTCACACTAAAAAAACTTCAATATGTCCAAAACTCAGCTGTCCGCTTGCTCACCTCCACCCGACGCTCCGACCACATCACCCCTATCCTCCATGACCTCCACTGGCTTCCCATCAAACACTGCATTGACTTTAAAATATTACTTTTCACTTCAGGGATGCAAATTCATCAGGTATGAAAAAGGTGACAAGGATCCGAGAACCCGGCTCCCCCACCCCACGGAATATCGGCTTTAAAATGAGGAATAACAGAGGATTTTAGCAGTCAGAACAACTAAAGCAGCAGTGTTAATAATAACAGAAACTCCAAAGAGTCACATCTAATAGAAATATATAAAAGCATTTATTTTAATTGTGTAGCAGTCAGTTTATAATTTTGGCAGCACTGTTGAGCATTTTGAAAATGTATTTTCATGCCTCTGTGCAAGGCTTAAAGAGCCTGTGACATGAACCCAACAACTGTTGTGCAATGAAATAGTGGGCTACTAGTAATCTCGAACCGTCAGTTTAAAAAAGAAAAAGCGATACCGTTCCGATAAATATCAATAATTTCGAACATCGCGGGAAAATTCCTTTGACTCATTTTGAGGTTTTGGGGGAAGCCGGAAGTGACGTCAATGCGGGAACGCTTCACTGTGCGGCGAGAGAGCCAAACACGGACAAAGTGTGTTGTCATGCGTAGAAATGGTGAATTACTGAGTTTAGGCACGTTAATAACGTTTTAATGAAGTTGACTACAGTATATTCATATTTGTCAGTGCTTTCATGTCAATTCGGCGAACGTAAACATAAATGATCGTGGTGAAGATGATGATTAAATTAGGATTAAAAATCGGTAGTGAGAGCTGCTGAATTTCCTCCCGTCGGATGTGATATAAAAACAAATCGATTATTTTTGTAAACTCAAGTGGATGAAACTACATTTATTAGTGCTTCATTTCAATTCGGCGAACATATGATACATTAAATGATCGTGAGGATGATGATTTAAAAATCTTTTGTTTGAGCCGGTCTGCATTTCCTGATGAGAAAACAAACCTTAGCTTTTTGTAGTTGCAGTCAGTGGTGTAGTGGGCGTTGGACGCGGGGGTACGCCGTACCCCCACTTATTTGAAGCATGATTTCTTTTTTTAATAGTCTAATACATCTAAAATCATTGCCAGTGTTATCAGTTGCAAGTGTGTGTTTGTTGTAATAATGACGAAAACACACAGGCGATAGGCCGTGATAGGTGAGTTTACGGTCCGCTGTATCGAGTTACACACACCTCGCCCGTGTTTTATTATTTTTTTACGAACACACGTCATGTGGCTTTGTCACGCCCTGTGGACCAGTGAGGATGTGGTGTCAGACGGGGAGTGTGGTGGTGTGCGAAGTTTAGTTCAACGTATTTACGAACTCGATGCAAAAATATAATTAATGC